AATGATGTATCATTTCACTGGGATGAACTTCGCCTAATACTCCCAAGAGCTCATAGACTTTTTCTAAAACTGAAAAATAAATTCAGATAAATGAAACCCTAAAAATATATTTAAATAAGTAAAATTAACATAAACATATGAATAAGAATATAAATGGATGTTCAACTGAAAATGACCTGAGGGCCAGCCAGATAGATCAGTGAAGACAGGCACTTGCTGCCAAGCCTAACCCCTGAGTTCAAGGCCCTGAACCCACATGATGGAAGCAGAGAACTGACACCTCCAACTGTACTTTGACCTTCACACATGCACCTGCACATACACAAAACATTTTTTAAGTAATTTTATAGTAAAACACAATATAGCTAGGTTTTTCATGAAATTCTTTCCCAAGTTTTATCTAAATCTCCTCCTATATTTGATGTGCTTTCTGTTTCAAGGAATCCTTTTACTTGCTTCCATTATGTTATTCTTTCAGCAAATGACCTTTGTAGAGTAAATTAATGGTTAGTTAGTGTTTACTTTGTTAAAATATTTGAAAATAACATCTCACCTGTATCAGGTAGTTTTGTTTTTGATGCAAGTTCTCCATAGAACTTGTTAAATAATTCTCCAATCTTAAATTCATCCATAAATCTGGAACTTCTCAGTATCTTAAGTAACTAAAAGAGCACAAATTAGCATTTTCTAAAGAGAAAAATAAAGATACCATCTACTTCAACAAAGCTTCAGAATCCTGGCCTCCAACAGATTTGATCTTTAGTCTCTCAGGAATGACACCTACTCTAAAATCTAGGGACACAGGGCTTCAGTGATAGATCAGTAGGAAATCACAAGGTAAAGACAGTCTAAACTTAATTTTTACTTCCCCCGGATAATCATAACATGGCTAGAATCAGAGGCACACTTTTAAGATCACAGACTAACTAAGTCCAAAGTAATTCTAAACCAGAAAATGCAGAAGTGAGCTCCTCACAACTAAGGATGCAAGAGAAATGCATGTGAAACAGAAGGGAGTACCTTTTGAGCACTCCTAACAGCATTAGATTTGACCAAAGGCAACAAAAGTGACAAATGAGAGAGCAGTAATTTTCTCTTTATTTCCCTTACAATTTCAAATTCTTATTACTCAGAAAAATATGAGAACAAAACACCATTGTGCTACATGTCACATATATAACCACAACTCTATCCTCCCACCTAAACAAAACTCAAAATTTCCAGTTTTAAGTTACATACTTAGCATAAAAACATATTACTTAGGATATAAAATTACCTTAATCAGAAGGTCTAGAGCTGAAATTTTACACTTAGCAGTTCTATCTTTCATATAAACACTGGTACAAGTATTCTAGGATTCAAAAGGAAATATATCATTCAAAAGGAGACAAAAGTCACCAATATGACTTAAGAACTAAGACTTAAAAATAAATTAAATAAAAATTAAATAAAACAAGCTATATATCAGACTCTTGTAAACTGTGACACAAGCTGAAATGAGTAAAAGCCAACAAAATATAAATAAATAAAAGCCTAAGTTCTTTAAACCATAAGTTAAAATTGAAGCTGACATGAGTTTTGCTTTTTCTTTTTCCTTACCTTGATATCAAGAGAATAACACATGACCTTCTGGTCAATTTTCTCTAAGAAAACATACAAAAATTTTAGGGCTTCTTCTCTACAATCACGGAACTATAATATAAGAAATAAATAATACAGGTAAGAATAAGTCACTCCAACAAAGAGAAAGACAGAAGACACAAAATGAAATGAAAGTTGGGCACTCACTTCATCAATGCTAAGTGATTTCCGGACAAATACAAGCAAACCAAACTCTCTGGAAAATACTAAGGACACCTGCAGTGCTAGGGGGTAGAGGAGAAGGGAGAAAAATTAGAAGTTCCAAGAAGCATTTTATAAAAGACCCCTGAAAGCATTGCCTGGTTTTCAAGGTATTCTTGCAATCAATAAAAAACCAAATGAGGTTATTATTTTAAAACAATGAAAACAGAAAGTTATAGATGTTATTCCACAAAGATGTAGACAAAATAAAACTTTTTCCTGTGCCCACCAGACGCCCATACTCTTATCTAACTTCTAACTTCTGGAAAGCAACTTTACAAGGTAATATAGGTTACAAGGAATGAGGGTGCCAATTAGTGACCTTTAAATGGTTATATAATACTTCATCTGGTGGATCCAATGCAATCATATGAGGCCTTAAAGAGGAAGTCAGGCCAGCTTGAGCAAAGACCCTATCTACATACAAACAAAGGGAGAGCAAGAGGAAAAAGTCTGAGAGAGGCAGGCAGTGGTGCACGCCTTTGATCTCAGCACTTAGGAGGTTGGCAAATCTCAGTGAGTTCCAGGCCTGCCTGGTTTACAAACTGAGTTCCAACCAGGGCTGTTACACAGAGAAGCCCTGTCTGGAAAACCAAGTCAAAGAGAACACAGTAGAGCACAATAAAGAGGACCTCTCCACAGGAGAGATCCAGGTACCTCATGAGATGTGCTCAGCATGCTAGTTGCTGCTGCTTTGAAGGGGTCTACAAGTCAAGGGAAGTGGACTGTCATGGTGGGAGCTCCACCTCAACCCCTGGCATCCATATACCCAAAGAGTCTGGAATGTTCAGATCACTCCCATACAGTATTTAAACTGCCCCATAGAAAATGGGGGTTGGGGGATCACCCCGAAGTGTTTTACCCATTAAATGTAGGCTTTTTCTAATTTGGTTGGATTTGGGTTGCTGTGTCTGCAGAGAGACTATCAGGGTGCAGAAACTTCTTAGACACATGTAAAGCAAGAATCAACAGCAAAGAAAATGAAGAACTGAGTTGTCTCCTAGACCCTTCGGAAAGGAAGTCTGGCTGAGTACCCTGGATATAGCTTGGTGAGACCCATCCACCTTCTGATCATTTAATGTGAATTCTGTTATTTAAAATCAGTAGGCTTCTGAGCACAGAGCCCAGGCCTTGTAATCTCAGAGACCAGGCTTTGTAATCCTGGTACATGGGATTCGAGTACAAGAGGACCAGAACCAAAAAATGCATGTGATGGTTATTGCAGCAAAAAGAAACTCACAACCTATAACCTTTCAACATAGTGCATATTATAGTAAATTGCCTTAAGAACAATAAGGTCACTCCACAAAAATGAATTCTAACCCTGAAAAGAGAAAGCAATTAAATGTTAGTCTTTTATATTCTGTTTTCTCCATTATTACTAGGTCCTTGACAACAGTTACTATGCAGCATCTTATTCAAAGTTTTATTTACTTCAAAAACAAAACAAAAATAAAGTCTCACTATGCAGCGCCATCTGTCCTGGAACTAAAGAGATCTGCCTACCTCTGTCTAGGACTAAAGGCCCATAACTCTACATTCACTTCCTTACATTGGAATGCACTGAAATAAAAAGTTTTGCAGATCTGTGTTTAAGAGAGGAACACAAGTTTTTGCCCACAAAATGATCAATTTTGTTGTTTTGTTTTTGTGGTAGTACCAGGGACTGTACCCATGGCCTCATACTTACCAAGTAAATGCTCCATCATTGAGCTGCCAATATTAGCATGTCAACCACCTGTAACTCCAGCTCTAGGGCATTGAACGCCCTAATCTGCCATCTACAGGCACCTGCACATCAGGAGTACACATGCGCGCGCACACACACACACACACACACACACACACACACCACTAGAAATAATATTTTGGGGGGGGGGCATATTGCCCATGACTGTCTGGGCTAGCTCGAAAGAAAATAACTGAAACGAAATGCTGAAAAAAGGCATTCCCATAAAGAAAATGAAGTTATCAAGCAGGCATTGCTAAAAGTTAAACAGGCAATTGAGGTACCTCACATCTATAACTCCAGTTTGTGGCTCATTTTCCAGGCTAGCTTGGGCTACGTAGGAAGCCCCTAACTCAAAAAGAAAAGAACAGCATGAATTTCAGTAATCTTTGCAATTATTCGGAAAATATGGTGCAACTAATAAAATGTTTTGGAAACGTCCTACTGGGTTCAACTTTGAACAGAAAGGACTGCCAATTTGGGGGGTAATTTTCCACACCGGTTTTAAGAGATCTTTCTTCAGATGCTAGGAAAAGAGAGCAGTGTACACATCTAGATTCCAGACTTCACAAAGCAGTGCTACACCAAGGGAGAGAAACGCTGAGACCTGTGATAGGCAGGCTACCCTGGTACCGTACCCACCCAGCACTGCGGAGCTGGTGCTCAGCACGCATTCCTGCCCCAGGCCACGGATCAGCTGGTAACTGGCGCCCGCAGCGCTGCAGCGGTCCGCCGCCGACAGGAATTCCTGCAGCTGCAGTAGCCATCCGCGTACGCCGGCTCCTGCGTCCTCCATTACGCCAGCACCCGCCTAGCGCATGCGTAACAAGTCCCCACCGGAACGCTCCTTTATACTCCGGGTGGAGGAGGTGAACACACGCACAGACCTAACTGGTATGGAGCGCCTAACTTGTGCACCTCGGAAATCAAGGGTACAGAAACCTGTCAGTCTAAGAGAGGTACCACTAGAGCGTTGCACGTGTTTGAGACGCATCAGATGTAAACGTGCCTCAAGCAGGACACTGACCAGCCCGCCGCGGGTTTCCCACCAAAGCGAGGCCCCGCTGCAGGCTAGCCCATCGAAAGCGAGGGGGGACGCACGGTGAGAACGCTGCTGTAGAACACGTCCGCCTAGAACTCCCCTGCCTGTTTGTAGTAGCGCCTTCCGGAGGCGGGGCTACGCGTCCCTGCCCTTGTGATTGGCGAGCACCTCTTCTAAGGCCACGCCCTCCACACGCCAGAGCGCGCGCAGTGGCGCCTTCCGGAGGCGTGGCTACGCGCCTTTGCCTCTGTGATTGGTCGGGCGCCGCTGGGCGCTATGACGACAGAGCGATTGGCGGGAATCGGCTCCGCGTTCGGGCCAAGGACGCTCTGCTAGGCGTGCGCTAATCTCCAGACCCTACTCTGGTGTACGCTTTTCCAGCTAACCCGGAGTCGAGTGTTGGAACGACTCAGAGCCAGCTTGTCCTTGTGGCGTAGGTACAACAGCATCATGTCGTCCCCGGCGTCTACCCCGAGCCGCCGCAGCAGCCGACGCGGACGAGTCACTCCTACCCAGTCGCGTGAGTTCCCTCTTCCCCTTTCCGCCCGCGTCTCTGCCCGCAGAATCGCGGAATGTTCAGAGGCCTCTGAGCCTGCTGCGTGGTTGACAGGTCTGGGCATATAGTGGCCTCTGTTCACTCAGATCCAAATGACTGGACTGGGCGCTCAACCCCGGGCTGTCTGGCCTGGTTAGTTCAATTGGTTAAAAATGCCCAGGCCTTTCTCTCTGTTCTAGTTTATTTTTATTTTTTTAATAGTAAGACTACCTGAGAGGCACTAAGCATGAGCGTTGATACTCTTTTTTGTTTTGTATGATGGAAGTAAGAAGTGAGGAAAGCAGGTCGTCTCCCAATCGAAGACGTAGAGGCGAAGATTCTTCCACCGGAGAGCTGCCGCCAATGCCCACCTCACCAGGAGTGGACCTGCAGAGCCCAGCTGCACAGAATGCCTTGTTTTCCAGCCCACCTCAGATGCATTCTTCAGGTGCGTTTCTGCACGTGTGGGTTATACTGTTGTTGGCTTGATATGTTGCCTAAGCATTCTGTGTAAGCTGATAGTCTCTTCACGGCAAACAGTTGGGGAATGAAGCAGAATTGCAACAGGCTAAGACCTAGTGAGCAAAGAAAGCAGACTTTATAGTAGAGCTGCATTTCAGCCATGGAAGATTGCAATAGAATTCTGTCTAGTTTGTCAGGCAGCATGCTCAGTCAGGAGTTTGGTGTGCTACAGGGATTTCTTTCGTCATAAATAAGATGAATGTGTTGTTTTTATAGCTATTCCTTTGGACTTTGATGTTAGTTCACCATTGACATATGGCACTCCCAGCTCTCGAGTAGAAGGAACCCCAAGAAGTGGGGTGAGAGGCACACCAGTGAGGCAGAGACCAGACCTGGGGTCAGCACGAAAGGGTATGCAAGTGGATCTGCAGTCTGATGGAGTGAGTACAGAGAAGCTCTCTGATGGTGACATCTTTGGAGCGTAAAATAGGTAATTCCATTAACATATTTTTGTCATGTCTTTCTCTGTAGACAGCAGCAGAAGACATAGCAGCAAGTGAACAGTCTCTAGGCCAAAAACTTGTGATTTGGGGAACAGATGTGAATGTGGCAACATGCAAAGAAAATTTTCAGGTAAGCTTATGTATACTAAACTCATTCCTGAGACTTTGGGAGACATTGTTGGTAATCTGTATGTAGGTAGCCATGATAGCAGGTTCTTTGTGGCTTAGAATTTATTACTCAAAAATACTTTATGCCCTGCAGAACATGGTGATAAACTTTTTTTTTTTTTTTTTTAAGATTTTAGTGTTTTGAGTGGGTTTCTCTGTATAGCCCTAGCTGTCCTGGAATTCATTCTGTAGACCAGTCTGGCCTTGAACTCAAGAGATCTTCCTGCCTCTGCCTCTCTGCTAGAATTAGAGGCATGTACTACCAGCTGAGTGGTAAACACTTAAAATCTTTGTATTCGGGCAGAGGACTGCTGGAAGTTCAAGGCTTATTTTTGAGGGGAGGGACCATGCTAGGCACAGCTTTTATGTGGCGGTTACAGGCCAGTTTTCAGGGGCGGTTCTTTCTACCTTGTGGGTTTAGAGATAGAAATCAGGTCATCAGGCTCCTAGGCAAACATACTTAATTACTGAGCCATCTTGCTGGTTTCATGTTCTGCATTTTAATAATAATTACATGTTCCTAAGTACATTAAGCTTATTTTTTTTTCTCCACATCAAGAGATTCCTTCAGTGTTTTACTGATCCTCTAGCCAAAGAAGATGAAAATGTTGGCATAGATATTACTCAACCTTTGTACATGCAACGACTTGGAGAGGTAATCAAATACAAATTACAAGTGGAAGTTTTGTATTTTGAAGTAATAACAGTAAAATTTGACTTGTTCATATATTTTACAGATTAATATTATAGGGGAGCCATTTTTAAATGTGAACTGTGAACACATAAAAGCATTTGGCAAAAATTTGTATAAACAACTCATCTCCTACCCACAGGTAAGAATTGACTTTGAACTTCATGATTACAGTAAATATATACAAGGAATGTACCTAGTAAGCAGAATACTATTTAGGTAAAAAGGATGCTCCTAAAGGTTGAATATTTCTTAAGAAAGCCATCTTTTACTGTATTTAAAATGAGGATTTTTTTTTTCTAAACTAATTGGTAGTATTTCTTAAAAACAATGAATCTTCCCAGTGATTTGTTGGATTTCATGAAGTAAATTATCTCTTTCCAGGGAGTGATAATTGGAAGCTGTTGAGGCAAGGTAGTTTCCTGGGTAGCTTTTTGCTGGAGTTACAGGAGCTTATGAGCCACCTACCTGATGTGGGTGCTATGACTTGAACTTGAGTTCTGGCAGAACAAGTGCTGTCAACTCCTGAGTTATCTCTTCAGCCCCTACAATTTTACATTTGTATTTACAGGAGGTTATACCAACCTTTGACATGGCTGTCAATGAGATCTTCTTTGAACGTTATCCTGACTCCATATTAGAACATCAGATTCAAGTAAGACCTTTTAATGCATTGAAGACAAAGAGTATGAGAAACCTGAATCCAGAAGGTAATATATTTAGTAGTAGAAAATGTCATATGTAGAAAGAAAGATCAAGGGTTGTGTAGTGGGTAGTGATAGCATTAAATTAAAAGTTGAAAAGGTTTATTCTTTATACTTTTGTGAACTAATTGTGTAGTTTCCTAACTTAGCTAAAATGTCTGATATAAAAGAAATAGCAATTCTCTACTGTAAAGTGAATTTATTCAAATACAGTAAATCTTTAGTTAAGTAGGTATGTACTTTCTTAGTTACTGAAGGCTATCAAGGTGACATCAGGATCCTAATCTGGTGTAAACAGGACAGAATGATGCTTTCTCCATGTGTGAAGATTGGAATATAGTGGGGGTTGGGGAGGAGTCCTAGCAAGGTTTCTCTGTAACAGCTCTGACTGTCCTAGAACTCTGCCTCCCAAGTGCTGGGATTAAAGGCGCTCACCACCACTTCCCAGTGTGATTGTTTTTTAAAATTAATAAAAAAATCTTTGCAGATAAATGTACTAAGATTATAAAGTATCTTCCATAACAGAATAATATAGAAATTAATATGAGCAGGATTTTTTTCTGTATTTGTTTTTATTTTTAGTTTTTCAAGACAGGGTTGTTCTGTGTGGCCCTGGCTGTCCTGGAACTCACTTTATACACCAGGCTAGCCTGACTCCTAAGTGCAGGGATTAAAGAAAGGCATACACCACCACCACTTGGCTTTTTTGGTATTTATTAAAGAACCGTAATTTTCTGTTATAAAATCAGTTCCTTACCTTTCTGGTGAGATGTTGAAAACCCTAAGAGGTCTAAGAACTCATAGGTGAGGCCTAGGATATAAGTTAGTGATAGATCACGTAATCCTATAAAAAAGAAAAGAAAAGGCACAGAATGTAAAATAAACTTGTTTTATAGATAGTGGTGACTGTTGAGAAGCAAAGTACTTTTTTTTTTCGTTGATACTGACTACAAAAATAGATGTGGTATATATTGGTGACATCTTTAACTATGTCCTGCTTCATTCTGTAGGTGACAGAGAGGGAGGCGCAGGTTATCCCCAAGGTTATATGTACTTTGGTCATGTTGTCTTCATCATGAGTCCAGGCTATTCCTGCGTATTGTATGTTTATTTGTTGTAGCTCATGCTGTGCAGGCCAGAGGAAATGTAGGGTTTTTGATTTATTTGTTTAATGTGTATACATTGTTCTTTCTAGATGCCAGAAGAGGGCACCAAATCTCATGTTGGGTGGTTGTGAGCCACCATGTGGTTTCTGGGAATTGAATTCAGGACCTCTGAAAGAGCAGCAAGTGCTCTTAACCTCTGAGCCATCTCTCCAGGGTTCCCCTCTACCCCCCAGGGGTGGGGAGTATCATTTCTTTTGAGCCATTTTGTTGTTAACAAAAGGATTTTCCACTGAGCTCAGCAAGAAGGCTAGGCTAGCTGGCTGGCCAACAAGTCCTAAAGATCCTACTGTTTTCTCCCTGGTACTAAAATTACAAGTACATCCCCAACCCCAACATTTCCAGTCTCAATTTTTGAACTGAGATTCAGATCTTCCAGGTGGCTTTTTTAAGTAAGATGAGAGACTGGGGTACAAAATACATCTACACATCAAATTTTTCTCCTGATAGGCAGGACACCTGAGAAAGAAAGGGCCAGATGTTGTGGCCCAGCAAGATGGTTCATTGGGTAAAGATGCCAACCCTGACCATTAGAGTTAGATGCCTAGGATGTACACAGTAGGAAAAAGAACTTACTTTCATAAATTGTCTTCTGATTTCCACACTTGCACCATGACAGGCATGTCTTGATAGACATAGTGGCAGACCCAGGCCTGGGTGAGCTGAGGGAAGTGGCTGGTGGACAACAATCTCTTTCCCTTTACAGACATTGATCAGCTCATCACCATCAGTGGCATGGTCATCAGGACATCACAACTGATTCCTGAGATGCAGGAGGCCTTCTTCCAATGCCAAGTGTGTGCCCATACCACCCGAGTGGAAATGGATCGAGGCCGCATTGCTGAGCCCTGCACTTGTGCACATTGCCACACCACCCATGGCATGGCACTGATTCACAACCGATCCCTGTTCTCTGATAAGCAGATGGTATGTGGCCACTCTGTATCCAGAATGAGGTTCCCCAATACACAGCTGCCTATGTTCTCCCACTATCTAAATCTTCAGCTAAATTTAATTTGTCAGTCTACCCTCAACCAAGAATTCATCTTTCGTTTGATAGTGTTGGTTTTGATAGTGACTAGAATTTGGAGCACATTGAGGTTTCAGTGTTGGTTTGCTTATGTCTGAGCTGTAAAAGGGGCTGTAATTCTTTTTGGCCTTTGTTTTCCGTGGTACTTTTTTTGTTTCTGAAGTTCTCTTTATACTATTCTTCCTTCAGATCAAACTTCAAGAGTCTCCTGAAGACATGCCTGCTGGGCAGACACCTCACACTGTTGTTCTTTTTGCCCACAATGATCTTGTAGACAAGGTTCAACCAGGGGACAGAGTGAATGTCACAGGTAAGAATGTAGGTTTGTAACAAGAAGGAAATTGGTGCTGTGGTTACCACTGTTTGACCTTTAAGTTCACAGGTACAGATTTCAGAACTCAATGTGCAGGTGGGCCTTGCTATGTAAATATCTCAGAACTTTGTGTGTTTCTTAAATAGGTAATGTTGATGCCGTGAGAGCAGTTTCAGGGTATAGTTAGTATTGATTGGATTCGTCTACCAGTAGCTCGGGGACAGAGCACCAACATGGGATTCATGAATGCTTTTCTACTTATTTCCTACATGTACAGCTAACATTATTCATGGAGTAGAGCAGGGCAGTCCATATGGAAAAGCTGTTGCTGACTTGTTGGTTGTTGCAGTTCATTGCCACACTAATTTGGGCTTGTAGATTCTGAATACTGCCTCTTGCAAAAAGTGCTCTATCTTCAATGCCATATGGGTGTGGCAGAACCAGTTTTGTGCCACCCCACCCATTCACCCCCAATTGCCTTAATACCTTTAGTAAGGTATCTAATTCAATGGGTTGGTTTCCTCAATTGTATCTTCAGTGCTCTATCACAGTTGGTACCTGGAGGAACAAAACTGGACCATTGCAGACTTCATTAATACCACCTAGTCTACATGACTGTGGGTGATATGTAATCTGGTTTACATTTTTTAAATGTTATTGTAAATGTTGGTTTTGTTTTTTAATCTTGTATCAGAGGACAACTTGTAGGAGCCAGTTCTCTTCCACATGGGGTCTGAAGATTGAACTCAGGCCATCAGGCTTGTGGCAAGTGCCTTTATCTGTGGAGCACCTCACTAGCTTTGTAAACTGGTTTTCTTTTATGTTTTAAATGAGAGACCAACAGGTAATGATGCTCAGGTAGATGTGGCCCCCAGGTGCTATTCATTGCCTTACTCACCACTGAGACTGGAGGGAGAAATAGAAAGGTAAAGTTGTGTCAACTGTATATGTTCTTAGGCATATATCGAGCAGTACCTATTCGAGTCAATCCAAGAGTGAACAATGTGAAATCTGTCTATAAAACCCATATTGATGTCATTCATTATCGGAAAACTGATGCAAAACGCCTGCATGGCCTTGATGAAGAAGCAGAACAGAAACTTTTTTCAGAGAAACGTGTAAAACTGCTTAAGGACCTTTCCAGGAAACCAGACATTTATGAACGACTTGCTTCAGCCTTGGCTCCCAGCATTTACGAACATGAAGATATAAAGAAGGTAATGGAGGTTTAACAATTCTGATAGTCCATTTGTTCAAAATAAGAACTGTTTGCTCTGTGACAAAGTAAGTACTGACCTCTGCCTCAGTCCTTAGTTAAGTTTTATTGTTTTGTTGTGTATATTCATCTCTGCTGTCCACATTCATGTCCCTAAACCTAAGAGATTATGTGGGTTCAGAACAAATGAATGCTGGTCAAGTCCTAGAGTGTTGTCTACTTAAAGTTTAAATTGGTTAGGAATAATTTAGAGTGAGCAAAGCACTCTCAGGTGATTGTGGTCATACCTTCAGCTTACAAAATAGAAAAGTACCTCTAAAACATAAACATAAGTTAAATCTATTACTCTACAAAATGAATGTTTGGGTGTGTTTATACATTTTTTCAGGGAATCTTGCTTCAGCTCTTTGGTGGAACAAGGAAGGATTTCAGTCACACTGGAAGGGGTAAATTCCGTGCTGAGATCAATATCCTTCTGTGTGGTGACCCTGGTACCAGCAAGTCCCAGCTGCTTCAGTATGTGTACAACCTGGTTCCTAGAGGCCAGTACACATCTGGAAAGGGCTCCAGTGCAGTTGGCCTCACAGCCTATGTGATGAAAGATCCTGAGACTAGGCAGCTAGTCCTACAGACAGGTGCCCTTGTCTTGAGTGACAATGGCATCTGTTGCATTGATGAGTTTGACAAAATGAATGAAAGTACAAGATCTGTACTGCATGAAGTCATGGAACAACAGACTCTGTCCATTGCAAAGGTGAGTGGTGGTGTGTAGGTGTGATACCTGCTCTTGAGAAAGTGATCAGTACTTCTCAACATGTGTCAGCTAAACTTCTAGATGGAAGCCTCTTATATTAATTAGCTTTTATGCACTAGTATATAGTGCTTATAAGCTCAAATTTATGTTGAAGTTACTACCAATACTAAACTCTTTTCTGATTTGAAAGATGTGTGGCTGCAGAGGTTTGTAGAATTGACCCAGGAATAAGAGCAGTGGGTGTTTGACACGTGTGGCTCACAACCATTAAGTTCCAAGGGATCCAGTGCCCTTTTCTGACCTCCAAGGTTACCAAGCATACATGTAATGCACATGCATTCAGGCAAAACACCAGTACATAAAATAAAATTTAATTAAAAAGAAATGTAGTTGCAGGATGCATATATCCAAGCTCAGTCCTAGGAATGAATCAAAGGACAGAGTGCCATCTGTGTGCTAAAATCAGTGAATCTCTTGGAAATCAGAAACAGCAAAGCAAATGAGGATTAGCCAGAGGCCAGATGAAGATGGTTTTCTTCATTGTGGGAGTCTCTAACTTCACTGCTTCCTCTGATAGGCTGGAATAATCTGTCAGCTTAATGCCCGAACGTCTGTCCTGGCAGCAGCAAATCCTATTGAGTCTCAGTGGAATCCTAAAAAAACAACCATTGAAAATATCCAACTACCGCATACATTGTTGTCAAGGTACTAAAACATTTCTCTATGATGACTGCTGCTTTTGGCTTACTCATAATTTTCAGCAGGAGGATTGAAAAGAAAATAGAGTCAATAACTGCTAACATTCTGCATTAACATTAAACAGTGATTAAGACTTGGTTGATCAGGGCTCTTGGCAAGGTTTTTGTTTTGTTTTTTTTTTGGTTTTTCGAGACAGAGTTTCTCTGTATTGCTTTGGAGCTTATCTTCAAACTAGCTCTGCAGAACAGGCTGGCCTTGAACTCAAAGAGATCTGTCTGTCTCTGCCTCCCAAGTGCTGGGATTAAAGGCATGTATCACCAACGCTCAGTTCTTGGGAGAGTTTATATGTTTAGTTATTTTACTAAATTTGTTTCTGGTGGTGCTAGGGATTTAATGAAAGGTCTCATATATATATTAGGCAAGTGCTCTATCACTGAAGTACACTACTTGTGAAACAGTTATTCTCAAAACAGTTGAATGTACTGGTACTCAAAGACTTTGCTCTTACCTCTCCTTAGTCATATATACAGTACAGCTGAGTGACTTAAACATCTTTAAGTTCTATGTATAGGTATGTTGGTATCTCAGTGTTTTTCCTCTGTCTTGTCAGGTTTGATCTTATTTTCCTCATGCTGGACCCTCAGGATGAGGCATATGACCGGCGTCTTGCTCATCACCTGGTTTCACTGTACTACCAAAGTGAGGAGCAAGTAGAGGAGGAGTTCCTGGACATGGCAGTGCTGAAGGACTACATAGCATATGCACATAGTACCATCATGCCCCGGCTAAGTGAGGAGGCCAGCCAGGCTCTCATTGAGGTAACCAGGCCTAAGGAAACAGTTTACAACTCTGAATGAGTTAGCTGTTTCTCTTAACTTTGTTTTTAAAAAGTGAAATCAATTGTAATTTAGGTTCACATATACATAGAAGATGGGCAGGAGTGTGCTAAACTTGTTTGGGCTAAGTGTTGTCATGTAATAGGTGCTTTGGTAGGTTTACATCCTAGCTGGGTTCCAGAAGGCTCAATGAGGGATACAGATGATATGATATGTGATTTTTCATTTGTATCATGAAATAAATGAAACTACATGCAAAATGAATTAATTCTCTTTGGAACATTATATCCTAAGTCATCTTTTACACACCTTGTAAAGTGGGTCTCATGGGCAGTTTGCCAAGCCTTTTCTATTCTGTTCTTTTTTCTTTTCTTAGTTTTTCGAGACAGGGTTTTTCTGTGAAAGAGTCCTGGCTGGCCTGGAACTCACAGAAATCCCAAGTGCTGGGATTAAAGGCATGTACCACCACTGCTGAGCTGCCAAGCCTTTTCTTACACTGTTCCTTTGGTGGTTATGGCTGTGTATGTGTGTATCTGTCTCTCTGTGTGTGTCTATTTGGTGCTGGGGATTATACCCATGGGTGTCTAGGCATACATTCTTCTAAATTACACTACCAATCTTTTGATGTCTCTTCTTCATGTGTGCCTATACAAATGTTTCCAAAAGTTTTCCTCTTGAATATTTCTGATTATCTCCATATATGGATATAACAATCCTCTGTTTCTGTGTTTCTGTTTGTGTGTGTAAGGCTTCAACCAACTCCCCACAGTCTAAATCCAATTTGCAATTCCCTAAAGTAACTATGCTGCAGGCAGACAAGCCATCAGTTATTTAACAGAACCCTAAGCATTCAGGGTCATCTATGAAAGTTGAGGTTCTTGTCAGCAGTGGCTTCATTTTGTTGTTTCTACCTTCTCTAGGCTTATGTGAACATGAGGAAGATTGGTAGTAGCCGGGGAATGGTTTCTGCTTACCCCCGTCAGCTAGAGTCATTAATTCGATTAGCTGAAGCCCATGCAAAAGTAAGATTTTCAGACAAAGTTGAAGCAATTGATGTGGAAGAGGCAAAACGCCTTCACCGGGAGGCTCTAAAACAGTCTGCAACTGACCCTCGCACTGGCATTGTGGATATATCTATTCTTACTACAGGTTTGTCACTTGCTTTGAACAAAAAGATCTAAAGTTGAAAGATATTCTGACTCCTCTGGTGCCTTGAAACCTATTAAAATCCATTTCAAGGGAAAGTGAGGCATGCACACTTGCTCTCCTCCAGTCATGCAGAAGACTCAGACAAAAAGGTCACTTGGGCTCAGAAATACTGGGCAAACTGAGGCAACACATAGTACGGCCCAGTCTCAAAAAGAATTTGATATCCTAAGTATGATTGTCCTTGCTATACAGCTTATATCAGCTTTCAGTTGCAAGTAGCTATTGATGTGTAAAGTAATTAAAATAACAAAAACTATGTTCTTGAATACACTCTGGCATTTAGCTGTTTTCCTACCTTGGCAGTACTACTGAAGAAATGTATGTGGGAATCTAACGTTTCACTTCCTTATGACAGAAATATTTCCATTTGATTTCTTTTTGAAATAGGGATGAGCGCCACTTCTCGTAAAAGAAAAGAAGAATTAGCAGAAGCATTGAGGAAACTTATTTTATCTAAGGGCAAAACACCAGCTTTAAAATACCAACAACTTTTTGAGGATATTCGGGGACAGTCTGACACAGTAAGTGTTTATATATAATGTGTAAGTAAGAATAAAATTTCCTCTTCCATAAACACATCAAGAAATACATAACTAAAATTTTAGTATACTTGTTCAGAGTTTATATTTGTTTTAGGTATGAAATATTTTTATGGATTTTTGCAATTAATTAAAGATGGATTGTTAGAGCTGGACGGTTTTGATATACGCCTTTAATGCCAGCACTCGAGAGGCAGAGGCAGGCGGATCTCTGTATGTTTGTGGCCAGCCTGGTCTACAAGACAGCCTCCAAAGCAACAGAGAAACCATGTCTCAAAAAAACAAAACAAACAAGATGGATTGTTAGTGAAAAATACTTTGTGGGTTGAAGTGAAGATATGCTTGGTTTGGTTTTGCTGTTTTGTTTTTATAATACTTCTTTACTTACCATTGTCTGCATTGCATGGTGAAGACAGAGCTTAGAGAGGACAGTGGGCACCTGGTCCTTGAAATGTTTGCCATCCCTGATTTACAGCATAAATGTACAAGTGGGGTTGGTGAAATGGCTCAGTGGGTAAAGGAGGTGGTTGCCACTAAGACTGATTATCTAAATACTATTCCTGGGACTCATGTCATAGAAGGAGAGAACTGATTTTGTCAAGGTTGTCCTTTGACCTCCATGTCGGGAGTAGTCTTTGCAGGACTGCAATCGGAGCCAGCCGAACAGCCCCAAGTCCGTCCCTGACTTGGGGAGTGTGGATGAGGGAAAGGCTAGCTATAGATGATAAAGAGAGGCAGAATAAAGGTCAGGAGGGCAGATCAGTCAATACTGAAATGCCACAAGTTTATTTTTCGACACTCTTATATACCATAACCAAAAAGGGTTACATACATACAGTATCGTGTATGAAACAGATTTTTCTTCCTTGTTGTAAGGGTTCAGTAACCACACCTTAGCTCTAAACTTCTTGTTCCCTAGCCTTGAGGTTAGGAGTAGCCATACCTCAGATCCAACTTCTCCTTTCCTTAACCTTGACAGTCAAGAGTAGCCACACCTTAGATTCAGGTCTGTTGTTATTTAGACTGAGATGGCTGAAACATCCTTCTGTAGCTACACATTTGACCATTAGGTCTTGTGACTTGCTGACAGCTTTGAACTCTGTCCTTGTGCCAAGATGGAGTGCAGCCATCTTTATGGTCACCCACACCTCCACTTATACACCAACCCACACACACAGGAACACAAAATAAATATGATGTATATAAAATGTAATTTAGCAAGATGAATTGTCTACAACCACAAAAAGAAAAAGACTGAGTAGTAAGTAGTTTAACATATGTATGTATAACAAGACGGACTCAACGTGTGACATTTTGTTTCTAGGCAATTACCAAAGATATGTTTGAAGAAGCCCTGCGAGCGTTGGCTGATGATGACTTCTTAACAGTGACTGGCAAAACTGTCCGCTTGCTCTGAGCCATCAGTTGCTGCTATTTTTTTTTTTTTTTTTTTTTTTTTTTTTTGATGCAAATAGCCTGAAAGGCAGTATTCTGCCACATAAAAATTTTTCTATCCTGTATTGTATGTTTTAGTAAATATATGTTTTCACTTTTTTTGTTTTTCCTTTTTTAATAGTAGAGATTACTGTCTTGATGTGCCACTTTAATTTTTAGGCACCAATTTGTACACAGAATCTAAGACCAATTTTAGAGAAGGTTTTTTAATATGAGGCTTTGCTTTTGTTGTGTTGCAGTGCTGGAGGTAAAGTTCAGACTGCCATGCCTGCTATATATGCAAGCTATGTCCCCAGTGTGTGGAGAATTTTGTGGTTGGAGGTAACAGATGGCCAGGATACAACCTTTGTTGTGATGTGATGATGGGTTAGATTCCAAATTGGCTTCTACTTTTTCTTAATAATGTTAAACTTTCCTAAATAAATGATAGAAAAAGTAATACTTGGTTGTTAAACATTATTTCTCATTAAGAACAGAACTTTGCTAAATACTATATTCTTGAGTCAGTGGTGCTTTTATAAGTTATAAAACAAGATAAAATGAATTTAATCTATTTCTTTAGATCCTTGTGATAATTATTCTCAAAACAATTGTAGCTTTATATTTCTATGTAAGTATTATTACAATAAATCTCCAAACCATTTGAATTATGTGAGTTAGATGTTTTTAATATATCTTAATAAACACTACTGTTGAGAACTGATTTCAGATTACATTAAAGAGTTCTCACTGGTGTAGTGTTCATAGATCTAAAAATGAATTATTTATCTCCAGTTTGGTGGTGTCGGTAAGCCAACTAGCATTGTCATTTTCAAACCTTCCAGTGGTTGCCTACTTGTTAAAATAGGAACTCTTTTTACAATTAAAGGAGTACAGCATCTAACTTCTAACTGCGTCTGGGATCCCATGACTAGTTCATGACATTTTCAGTTGAAAATGAGAAAGGAAAGACATCCCTCATTGAAATCTTCTAGCTAAAAGTTTGAACACAGCAGATAAGATCAAAACTCCTATAACAACTGCCTGCATAAGTCAGACTTTGGAGACATCAGAGCATGTTGAAACAGCTTTATTTTAAAACTACTTGCATTTGTGAATTACATCCTTTAAAAACTGTAATTACTTAACATTTAAAAGAGCTACTGTTCTTGCAGAGGACTGGAGTTTAGTTCCAAGCACCTGGAGCTGTAATTCCAGCTAAGGCAATCTTGACTTCTGTCCTCTATGAACATCTACACACACAAACACGCACGGAGTTGGGTGAGGGGAGAACAGATAAATATTGAATGAACTACCCATGTAGCAATGGTTTTATCTAATGGTGTCTTATAATGCAAGCATTCTGCTCCAAGACATTCCTTTTTCCCAGCTCCTCTTGGAGCACATGTGATACAGGATTGTAACTTTCATAATGCCCCTTTCAGAATTCAGCCTTCCTAGGAATTTTAGCACAAAAAGTATGCTGTGATGGCTATTGGTTGTCAGCTTCACTGCAACTATAATTAACTAAAACCCAAAAAACTGGGAACACTTGTGAGGGATCTTTTTCTTAATTAAATAATTTGAAATGGGAAGACTGTTTTGAGACAGGGTTTCCCTGGGTAGCCTTGGCAATCCTGGAACTCCGTAGACCAGGCTGGCCTCACACAGAGATCTACCTGAGATTAAAGGCATGTGCCACCATGTCCAGCCAGGAAGACTGTCTTAATTAGGGATACTATTGCTGTGGTGGAACACCATGTCCAAAAACAACTTTGGGAGGAAAAGGTTTATTTCACAGCTCCATATAGCAGTCCATCATCAAAAGTAGTGAGGACAGGAACCTGGATGCAGGAAACTAATGCAGTGGCTGTGAAGGGGTGCTGCTTATGATTTGCTTCCCATGAAGGACATGCTGGCATGCTCAGCCTGCATTTTGTTTTGTTTTGTTTTCAAGACAGTTTTTGTGTGTAGCCCTAACTATCCTGGAATTCACTCTGGAGACAAGGCTGACCTCAAAACTCATGAGTTTCACCTGCCTCTGCCTATCGAGTGCTGGAATTAAAGCAATGCATCACCATCTACTGACTCAGCCTGCTTATAGAAGCCAGCCCAGGGGTGTCCCCAGTCCATCCTGAGGCCACATCAGTCACTAAGAAAATGCCCAAGCTGGGCAGTGGTGGTGTATACATTTAATCAGTTGAAATTCCTTCCTCTCTGATGACTCAACCTTGTATCAAGTTGCCATAAAACTAACCAGTACTGAAGACCCACTTCTAATCTGGAACTTTGAGGTGATAAAATATACCTTTAATCCAGATCTTTTGAGGTAAGAAGAGCCTGCTTTAAACTGGACCACACAGCCACATAGTGGTGGCACAGGCCTTTGATTCCAACACTTGGGAGACAGGGGCAGGTGGATTTCAGTGAGTTCTAGGCCAGCCTAGTCTACAAAGTGAGTTCCAGGACTGTTACACAGAGAAACCCTGTCTCAGAAAACAAAAACAAAACTGGGCCACACCTACTGGCAACCAATATAAAGGACATGGGAAAAGGAACCTTTTGCTCTTTGCCAGCTTGCTCTTGTTGGCAAGTCCATTCCTCCATTGGCATTAGAGCCTACTTCTTCAAGATATACTGAAGGTGCCATGGGTCCCTTGCTTCAAGTGTGGTATTACTGAAGAACAACTATACCGAAGAACAGCTGAGACATCAGCTTCATGGACTGAGCAACTACTGGATTCTTGGGTTTTCCATTCATAGCCTGTCATTGTTGGACCAGCTGAACCACAGCCTGTAAATATACAAATATACATAAGTAACATCTAAAAAGGTCTCATGTAAACATTAGCACATGCCATTTGTACCCCCTTCAAACCACTGAGCAAGTATAGACTGTACTGCTCACAGAAATAATTCACAGTCCATTCCCATTAACAGTATTTAATGAATTTTAGCAAAAAATATATTTACAAAGTGTTTTACTACAGTTTCAGAGGTTCAGTTCATTATCATCATGGCAGGGAGCATGACCATGTACAGGCAGACAGACATGGTGCTGGGGGAATACCTGAAGAGTCCTACATCTTGCAGGCATCAGGATATCGACCAAAACACTGGGCAGTATCCTGAGCACAGGAAACCTCAAAACTCACTACCCCCCCATCCCAGTGGCACACTTTCTCCAACAAAGCCATGCCCACTCCAACAAAACCACACCTCCTAATAGTGCCACTCCCCATGAGGTTACAGGGCCAATTATATTCAAACTACCAGAGTTATTGGCTATCTGGGGTTTCTGGGTCCAGGTTTCTTTGGAGCAGGGCCTGTGTAAGGTGTTGGAGGAACTGAGAAGGAATTTCAGATTTGTCCTGAACTATTCTAGGATATTTTGAAAGTTAATTAGTTTAAAGTGTATCAGGCCAGAAAGGAGACAAGTAATGAAACAATCTCTGGCCCAGCAATGTCTTTTAGTTCCAGTTAAAATCTATGTCAGGGACTGCGGCTCCACTCCAGGTGGGTTTGATCTGTTTGGTGTATCTGATCTGTATGTTGATGTGCTTTCTTCAAGACATGTCTGTGTTCCTCGGGGAGCAGGTTATTAGAACAGGTCATATCGAGGTCATAGAAAGTGAGATAGATCATAGGACTGGCTTAGGTGTTGGAATTGTTTAATGAGGGCGATGGAGACTGAGTAGAGGAACTGAGATACTTTTCAACCTGGGCATAATAGGGGAAAGGAACATGGATGTGAATAGGATCTCTATCCCTGCTACTATCCTAAGGGGTAGGACTGGGGCAGGGGCTGAAGGCAGTTTATCACAGGAGAGAGTGTGGGAAGAGCTGAAGGGAAGGGGCTGGCATCAGATTCTGAGTGAGAGCCATATTGAGAGGCAGAGGTGGAGAAAGCAGAGGCAGGAATTTGAAGGTGCAGAGGTGAAGTTTAAGCAGATGGAGGAGAGCTGAGAGTGACTGACATGGGAGAGTGAAGAGAATGCAGGAGGAGAATGAGGACACAGAGGAGGGTCATCTGCAGGATCAAAGAACTGGCTTTCTAATGGGAGATGTCATTCTGTATATATGTTTCTCTTATTGGTTAATGAATAAAGACCTGTTGGCCAATAGGAAAGCAAGATAGGCAGGACTATGAGACAAGGAGGATTCTGGGAAATGTAGTAAAGAGAAGTCAAGATGTAGGACATGACAAGTAAGGTCCAGACCCTTTCTCCGGTAAGATAAGACCACATGGAAACACTTAGATGGATGGAAATGAAATAATATTTAATACAGAGCTAGCCAATAAGAAACTCTAGCCCTTGGCCAACAGCTTTATAACTATAGAGTCTTTGTGTGTTATTTTGGGACTGATGAGGCACTGGGACTAGGTTGGTGAGAAACTGCTAATAGCTTTCAGTTTCAGGAGCAGAAGAATTGGGAGGTGAGGTGGAGGATATAAGGTGAAGAGGAAGTGGAAAGGTTAACAAGAGGCACATAAAGAAGGTTTGGAGCAAAAGAACAGAGGAAGCAGAGAGATAAAGAGCCTCTTTCCACTTTCTTGTCCACACACAAAAGTTGTAAAGATCCCACATAATGTTAGTATCAAGGGAGCAGTTAGGTGGCCATTTTGACTGGTTGTCTAGCAAGTATTGAGACCAAAATTGAGTACTGAAATGAAAAGCTTATGATATCTAAGGTCTGGAGTGAGTTGTAGTTTTTTGAGGTTTTAGAGAAGACATCCCAAAGGTGAATCAGCGGTGGCTGGTGAGCCAAGAGCATCCCCTGGGCTTCTAGCAGCTCTGGGAGGGAGAGCTTATCACTCAAGTTCTGTCATCAAGAGGAGTCTGGGGAGAAATTTGTGACCTGTCAACAGGATTTTCAGACTTTTAGGAACAGAAACAGAATTCCATCAGAGCAGCCACCAAAAGTGAAAGGAAAACTGCCAGCCAAGCCAAACAATGGAATTTGCCTAAAAGCTGTCCAAGCAAGTCCACCATAACCAATGAAGGTTG